GGTGCGCGCAGGAGTGCGAATTGTGCAGAAGGCCACCCTAAGGCTCGGGAAGGTCCTATAGGAATCCATTTTGGTTTTCCTCATGTCGGTTTCATCCTTCTAAGTGTTAGAAGTCGATACCGCACACGCGAAACTCCAAAAGAGGACGGAAATAGATCGAACTAAAAACGAGGCGGGCACCACTTCTAAGGTTCTAAGATAGTCAAGGGAGGTCCCTAAAGCTAGATCCTAAACCCTAAGAGGAAGACTAGACCTCACTGAAAATGAGGTCAACAGTAAGTCCCCACCGTCTCCCTCGCAACCTCTATAAATGTCTCAAGTTTTTGCTTGCATGCTGCCATCCATTCCGCTCACGTCTCCCCATCTCTGCACAGAGCATCTAATGTCGTTTGGGCGCTGTGCTGTTTAGCTGTGAGATAATCGAAAAAATTTAATCTCTAATCTCTTCTGTCCCCTCCGCTTTACTTAATTAACTGTGCTCTGAATGCACGAATAATGGAAAGCAGTAATGCAAGACCCATTGAATCTCTTAGCACCGCAAGATCCTATTGGTTTGGGGAATCTTCGAATAGCACGAATGATTTCTCTAGGTTTAAAGGTGATCGCAGGAGCAGCGCACACGTAATCATAGCAATTCACACCGCTCAATGATCAGAGTAGTTTATTGACACATACTTTTTTGCTACCCTTCACCCTTCTATCATAAAATAATTGTTTTGCGTCCTGTGAGTCTCGGTGGCGATGTTCAGATACCACAACGACATAGTGTGAATACCTACAATGTTTGTTGATGCCATTGAAGACTTCAATTTATGACATTCAATGTAGTTCCTGATCAAAGCTACACAAATGAATTCAGACGTCAGAAATTTCATTATTTCATGGTGATTGACTTTGAGGCAACGCGCGATAGGTTCAAGCAACCAAATTCTCAAGAGATAATTAAATTTTCATCTGTTCTGGTTAATAGTTTGACGGGAGAGATGGAAGATTGCTTTCAGACATATGTTCGTCGTACTCATCATCCTGTCTTGACTGATTTCTATAAGAAGCTCACAAGCATCCAACAAACACATGTTATTATTTATTTATATCTTTGGTAGAAATAAATGCAATCAAATCTTTTAATTTTTGATAAGATATTACGTCCGGTAGCACCATGTCGTGTATTCGGCGGTGTAATGGGATCTATCTCATTGTTCCCAATTTTATCATCTGGAGGTAATATTTTTTTCAAATTTTGTTTTTATATAACATTTTGCAAGCAGGTGAATAGTGGCGTCTCTTTGAGCAAGGCCATATACATGCATGATAAATGGTTGCAGGAGCGAGAAATTAAATGCACAAATTTTATTATCGTGATTTGGACCGACTATGATTGTCGTACAATGTTGGAACCGGAATGCAAATTCAAAGGAATCTTTAAGCCTTCATATTTTAATAGGTAGAGTTGTGGTTTTCATTTTTTTTTTTGGTATGTTCAAATTTCATCCATAGAGCCTTGCATTGGATGAATTAATGTTATACACTACAAAAATCATGTTGCCTTACATTCAATTTTACATTTGTTATTATTCAACCATGAACAAATGGATCAATTTAAATATTGCATTTCATGAGGTATTTGAGCGTGTTCATTTCAATTTAGAAGAAGCTGTAAAATTGGCTGGCTTTACTTGGGAGGGACGTCCTCATTGTGGCTTTGATGATGCCCGCAATACTGCTCGACTTCTGCTTCAACTTATGCGTTGAGGCTTCTCATTCTCCATTACTAGTTCTATTGAATATCGTCAAACCTCTTCCAGTAGCCAGTTGAATTCTCAAAGTAAAAATTGAAAACAATGACAGTCAATTGCAAGGATAGCTATCAATATTCTTATTTTGATGGCAGAGCCGACTATCAAAATCAAATGGATAAACAAAAATAAAAAGGCAATGACATGAGCAAAATTTCACTCCTTAAAGAGACATAAAAATAAATGCGGTTTTTGTTGTGTGCAGTGGCAAAAAGTCTATGGTCTTTAGGAAAATTATTATGTCTCGTGAGTTGCACGTCCTTCATTCCGGTGGATCATTTCAAATGTCTGGATGTGTGGACACCAAACGTAATAATTTTTCCGGTTCTTAAGCCAATGCCCATGCGAGGATAATGGTTTATGTAATTTTGAGAAGAAATGAAACTTCTGCTAAATTTTTATGTAGTATTTGAATAAAGTAATATCTGAACAAAAATTAATTTACTTGTTTAGTGTTTAAAATAAAAGATTTTAGCTTTTGAATTTTATGTGGTTAGGAATTTATTGTGTTAAAAATATGTTTTAATTACAAAAATTACTTTTTTGTATTTTTATTAAATCTCTCTGAATTCAGAAAATTCAGAGAAACAATTTTTTTTTATGATTTTTAATTTATTTATTATAATTATTTTAATAAAAAATTAGAGAAAATATATTTTAGCCTTTAAAAAAGTTATATTCAACTTTGAAAATTTATGAAAAATATTCTAATGAGTTCCAAGTGATCATGAAACAATTAGGTTCAATTTAGTGCATTTTCATATTTTTGAAAATTTTAATTATTTTTTATTATTTTTAATTTAAAATATTGCTAAAAAATGAACTGTTTATTTTTTTAAAAAAAAATTTATATCACTTTTTCTGTTTTTCTTTCGTATCTCCTAACAATCACACTATTACCCTTGCCATTAAAAATGACCTTGTCCGCATGGTTGAATGTAGGATATGCCGAGTATATTTCTTCTAGATTCTACAAAACTTCTTTTGCTAATAATCATTACCATTGAAATAATATTTTTAACACTATTATTGCCGACTCCCAAGCCCTGAATGTGAAGGACGTTTTGTAGAGGATTACATTAAGTAGTCAACAGATAGCGCAAAAGTTTTGTTAAAAAAATCATGACATTAATCATTTAAATTATTGTGTAAATGCTAGGGCGTCCCCTTGAACCGACACGTTGTTTGACCTGAATATAGTGAAAAATGAATAAGGGCCATTACACTGTCACTCGAGTATAATGTTAAATAAGCAAGAATTCACACATTATGGATGAATCCAGTTCAAAAAGTTAGTCTATGAAACTAATATTAAGATAAGATATTGATATATAAGTACTCTCACGAGTAAATTAATGAAATTGGTAAATATTATGGTTCATAAGAAGATACATATCTTATGCATTCAAAAAACTAAATGAGTTGGAGAAAATACTAAGAGATTAATGTCTTAAATTTTAAACTTTGGTATGCAGGTAGTAGTCCTTTTAGAAATGGTGTAGTTGTAATAATAAATAAGAGTTTGAAAGATAATGTTGTAAAAACTAATAAAATTGTAGATATAATTATAGTCATAGATACTAAGATTCTTAATATTATAAAGGCTTATGCTCTTCAAGTATTTTTAGATATATGTTCAAAAGAAAAATTCTGGAATGATTTTGACGAATTAATACAAATGATACATTCTGAAGAAAGAATATTTATTGGAGTAGTGTTAAATGGATATGTTAGTAGAGTGGTAGAATATTTCAGAAATATTTTTGCTGGTTACGGTTTTTGAGTGATTAATAAAGAAGATAGAATGATATTGGATTTTCATTCAGCTTATGATTTTGTTATTGCTATTCTTTTATTTAAGAAAAAAAATGAGCATATTATTTCTTATAAAGATGGGTCTAATAAAATATAAATTTATTAATTTCTGATGAGAAAAAGAGATCGTCGAGAATGTACAGACTGTAAGGTTATTCTAAGTGAAACTTTAAATACTCGACATCGACTATATGATTTAAATATTAAGATAAAGAGTTAGAAGTTAAAATTTCTATGAAATATTCTCATAAAATTAGATAAAGACACTTAAAAAAGATACATAAAAATATTTTTATAAGCACACTTCAAGATTTTAAGATTTGTGATGTTCTAGGGGAAACAAATTCTATGTGGGATAAATTAACAAATACTATTAAACAAGTGAAAAAAGTGTTCTTAGAAAATCAAAAGGAAAATTTTTCTTAAATAAAAATAATTGGTGGTGGAATAATAATGTGCAAGAAAATATAAAATATGAGAAGTTTTGTTATAAAAATTTGTTTGAATAATAAAACTCTTTCAAGAAAATCAAGCCTGGAAAATCAGTAAAACCTAATGGCATTTCAATAAAAGTGTGGAAATATTTAAGAGATTTAAGAATTTTTTGGTTTACTAAACTTGTTAATATTATTTTAAAAACTAAAAGGATCCAATGAGTGAAGGAAGAGTATTTTGATCCCCATTTTTTAAGAATAAATGGGATAAACAAGAGTGTGCAAATTATGTAGGAATTAAGTTGATGTGTCATACATTAAGATTATGGGAGAGAGTAATTGAATATAGGTTCAATGTGAAATTAAGATTTTTCATAATCAGTTTGTATTTATGACAGGCAAGTCCAGAATGAAAGCTATACATTTATTGAGAGGCTTGATGGAGCCTTAGAGAGAGTAAGGAGGATCTACATATGATTTTTATTGTTTAGAAAAAAGTTTACAATAAGGTTCTGAGTGAAGTTCTTTGGAGAGTTCTAGAAAATAAAAGTGTTGATATGACTTATATTCAAGTCACTAAAGAAATTTATACTAGAGTTGTTACTTGTGTTCAAACAAGAGGATTGATAAGGTATTTCTATTTCATTTGGATTACATTAGGGATTGGCTTTAAGCCCATATCCTTTTGCATTAGTTATGGATGCTCTTAATGGACATGTACAGGAGGATGTACCTTGGCGTATGCTTTTCAATGATGATATCCTTCTGTGGATAAGACTAGAGAAAGAGTTCAGAAAAAACTTGAATTATGGGAATCTATTTTAGAGTCTAAAGGCCTTCATTTGAGTAAATCTAAAAGTGAATACATGGAATATAACTTTAGTGGTAGTAGATTTAGTGACAAAGTTATAAAAATGGGTAATCAAATCATTAAAAAGAGTGAACGCATTAGATAACTTAGGTTTTTTGTTCAAAGTGATGGTGATATGGATGGGGTGGTATTCGTAGAATTCAAGTTTGATGGTTGAAGTGGAGGAATGCATCGGGCTTATTGTGTGATAGAAAAGGATTGGTTGACTTAAAGTAAATATTTATTTGAGGGTGGTGAGACTTGTAATGCTTTATGACGCAGAATCTTGGCCTATAAAAGAAAAAAATAAAACTAAGTTTTGGTTGAGATGAGAGTGCTTAGGTGGATGAGTGGGTTTACACTTAGAGAATGAATGCGAAATGAATATATTTGTGAATGGGTTGGTGTAGCTCCGATGGTAGATACAATTAGAGAGTCATCTTAAATGTAGATGTTTTAGATTTGACTTATGTTAAGAAAGGTAGAGGTAAACCTAAAAAGATTCGGGCATGTATAAAAAATGATCTTAATTTTTTAGACTTGAATGAAAGTATTACAGTCAATAAGACATAATGGAGAAAAGTGATTCATGTAGCCTACCCCACTTAGTGGGATAAAGACTTGTTATTGTTGTTGTAGAGTATGGATCAAGAATTATTGATGGCTTGACAAAAGATTGACCTTCATAAACCTATGCTGATAATGTCTTGGGATGTAAATTGGGATCTTCTCAAAATTCTTTATGATTCGATACATCAAAAATAAGCTGCATCATAACTCTAAAGTTATAAATAGCAAGGACGGTTCAATTTACTAAAAATATGATTGCTCAATTGATTTTTGCCTTTATAATTAGAGCTTTACTAAAGTCATGTCACCCACTTCAAACTAAATTTATCTTCATTTATTACCTGTCATCTATTTCCATTCAATTTTGTGACTTCAATAGATTTTGACTTAATTGATGCAGAACTTTGCCTCTTTGTCTGAGCAAAGTATCACGGCCTTAATATATGAGGTGCAAGACTTATGAGAAATAATAGAAATATCACAAGGACAGACAACTTCCGTTGATGAATTTATAAAGCTTTATATGAAAATTCAGCTAACAACAGCAATTTTACCCATTTTAAGTGGATATATATCACAAAACCATGCAAATTGTATAAACACTCAGTATGTCACTTCAGTTTTCCCATCAAATTCAGGATAAGCACTATTATGATTTGAAGTTCTACATTTAAGCTGAATTATTTCCCAAATGAGCTCATAAAAACTGAATTCCTATGTAACTCCATTGCTTTTTAAATGCCATGTACATCGCTAATGTCCCCAACAAAAGTTACTGTGGCTATGGAAGCTGAAATAAGGCGGCGAAGAGCTGAAGAATGAGCATATGCTTTGCAGGTCTATCTACCTCCACCGTAGCCACCATTTTTTCATTGGATTTGGGCAGATCTCTTATAAAATTCAGACACTTCTTCGCATATCGATTTGCGGATTAAACAGTGGCTGTAGTAATCAGGCGGTCATGTACTAGATAAATCATATACAAACAAATTGTTTAACGCCATATTTCAGGTTAAGCCAATAGAGTTGTACTACTATTTTTCCAACGTGTCTGAAACAACCATCACCAACAGTTGTATCATTCCTTACATAAAATGTTGATAACATTCCTATTTTTGAAACATGTTAAACCATTCCAACGTTAACAAAGAAAAAAAATTATATATTAAACCATTCAAACATGAGTAAGAACCATATTTATTCATTTACATTCCTATATATAACTGCATCATTACAGATAATTTTTGTGTTTCTAATTTATTTAGTCCAATAGAATATTAGCGTGATGAATTTAAGCCAATCAATTGCCAATTCAGGCTTGGAAGTCGTCCTTTGCGAGCTTATTACATTCAACTCTTGATCATCTATTTG